CTTTCAAATCCTCTCTCTGTCTAAAACTTGACCCAGACAACAAAGTAAAGCTATTTTTCGGCTACGAGCCCGACACAAACTCTACGTATTAGTCAGAGGTCCCTTTACTACGGTTCGGCGCCGCGGACCTTCAGTAATCGTAATAAATCACACAGCAATAGGACATTCATGTAGTTGTAAAAAGCATGATAATATATTAAGTAATCCAAAGTATTCAGAATACGTCACTATCATCGAGTAACGTAACAGAATACGTTGCAAAATACATTTTGGGGCATGTAATCTGTAATCTGTAGTGGAATACATTTTAAAAGTAACCTTCCCAACACTGCCTACAATATATTCTTTGATACAAGATCAATTTATTATCTTTAGTCCAAAAGCTGCTGTTGGCATCATTTGTATACGAGGCATGAAGCTCAACTCTTGTTCGGTGGTTTTCGACATGATCAAAGATGCATTGTTGAATCATATGAAGGTTTCTTGCATCCACTTGCGTTTTTGTGCTTTCTGTCAAAGTGTCACAATTACAAACATCCTGCAGAAATGACATTGATTTCAGAATCACATTGAAAGTTTTTACATAATACAGAGCAGGGATACATGCACACCCACAGCAGGAGACAGAAGGATGAAAGAGTGGTTATCAGTGGGACTGGAGCTGAGCTGTTAGCTCCTAGTGGTATGCTGCTTGATAGACGAGATCAGCTGAGGACAGAGAGAAACACATTACACGGACAAAGGGGAGCAATCAGAGGAGAAAAATTAAGTAATGTTTCTTGCCGGGTTTTTTCTACCAGAAACTTCCTCTCTTATCTCCCTAAAGCACATTCTTTCTCTGTCTCTCCTTTTCTCCTTCACTCTATTCAGCCACCTAGTCCACAATCCATCTTTACTTTACGCTATCTCTCCTTCACATGCCTTAGCCAAACAGAAACAGGCAGAGAAGGTGGATGAATTATGAGTGGACGAGGGAATTTCAGCCCACTCCGGCACATAACAGAACAGAGAGACAAACGGCAGGACTACGTGAATTAAAGATGACAGGAACCCTGCCGCTGCTTGCTAGCTGGACGCTGCAGATGGAGTTCAATGCAGCTGAATAGTCTGAACCTCCGGAGCATGCAGAGGGAAAAACATGAAAGCGGCAGATGGATTTGTTTACTTGTAGATGGAACTGCCATCCTCTTTCTAGGAATGAGCGCAGACATGCAAACACATGCCTGAGTGAACGCATACACCTAAATGTCCTTACGTCCCACAACATCCTCCCAAAGGTGTGAGATGTCAGACGCAATCATACAAATCTCAGATGACCTTATAACCCACACTGCTGCCTCAGGGCATCGAGACAAACACTCCTAGTTACACTAACTCCTGGAAAGAGTTTCACAAAACTTTGCACTGGCTGGAAACACTGTTACACCAGGAATCAATACGGCGTGGTAATTGCAAGTGCGTGTGTACGAGGGAAGGCTGCGTGCAGCCTTTCAATGTCTCCGTCAGTGCAGCTGTGCTTACCTGAGGTGAATATCAAGCAGGAAAACTTCATTTACCATTTACATAAAAATGCTACTGTAATACTACACATCAGAAATGTTATGCTATTCAATCTCTGCTTGCTTTTAAATCCTGCTGCATTTCTCATTCGTTTCTGCTGGACCTTTCACTGTCATCACTGCATAGAAAATAAAGCTACAGCAGCAACTGAAGCCACTGCATATTTCCACTTAGGACAATAGTAATAGGTTTGATCTATCACATGCTCTAAAAGGTCCATATCGAATGCATAGCAGCAGACCAGGAGACTCGATCCACTCCCGAGCCAAAGCTCTTGTCCATCTGTGTTCCTATGACTCTCACTAACTACTGGACTCCTCTTGGCAGGGCTCTCAAAATCCTCTCTTCAGCCTTTACAACTCATCAAGTATTCTGCTGTCGGCCTTCTCCAGTAACACCACCCCCTCCCTGCACTCGATCTTTTGGCTGCCTGTGACTGCTCGTATCAAAATCAATACAGGGATGCTGCTGTACACTTCTTGAGGAGTTTCCATTGAACAGGTGTGTCAACTTACATACATACGTACATATGTACTGTCTTGAGCCTGATACTCGGTTAAAGTTGCTTTATTGTACACCAGGACTTTGGGCTGAAGCTGATATGCAGGGATTATTTTGAACTGTAATTGGACTGGTACTCATGTAGTGCCATAGTGGAGCTTTCTATTAAAAGTCTCATTCACCCAGTCACACATGCATCCATGCAGAACTTTGCCTAAGAACTTTCTAACACAGGGGGCAACTCTGATTTCACCAACTTGCCCAAGGATACTTTGGATGTGGGCTGGAAGAGCCAGAGATCGATGCACTGTCCTTCTAATTGGTAGGCAACCTGCCCTACCACCTGAGCCACAGCTGCCCAGTTGTGAATTGTACTGAGCTGCTCTAGAATAAGAATGTGGAGCTGGGAACGAGCATGACAGGTCTACTTCAAGGACACCCGGCGTATGAAAAATGATCAAGTCCTGAATGGGGGACATGCTGCTGTCAGACGTTAGTCATGAGCCAACATGAGCCAAAAGAGTAAATGTGTGCATAATTCAGAGAGCGCTGTATCAGTTTCAGTGGATGGGCTATTCTGTGTGCAGTGGTAGTGCATATATGTGTTTTTTACAGCGTGTCTGTTGATGCACGCGTGTGTGAGTCTGTCTACGTTGTCACATACAGTATGCTCATTTCATTATTCAGATACTGGACAGGCCTCAGTGAGCAGCTCCGGCTTAATTATTCTGTGCTGCTACGGGTAGACAGATCACACACCGACACTGCAGCGTCCCCCCAGAATATTGAGGAGGATAAGATGACAGCGAGTTTTATAGTTTAGAATTTTCACTTTTGCAACATCAGCATTTGTCTAAGATGTTCTCGCTCTTGTTTTTTGTTGTCCTTCCATCCAGAGTGGAGTGATATAAAAACAGTTAAAAGCAATTATTCATAAACATGCAATTATGTGTGCACAGACCCCGACTTGCAAAGGGCCAGCGTATAGCCTGGGTTTGGGGATCATCTGGACTTTATAATGGAATCTATCACCACCACTAATCTCCACACCTGAGCTGCAGCAATGGCAAAATGTTTATTAACCAAATATCTCCATTAAACACATTTAATGTTAGTTTCCAGGAAATAAAGGAAGTGCTAGTGATTATGTCTTGATGAGCCTTCATTCTAAGCAGTCACGATCACTCACATGATAAATCGCTTTAGGACTCTCTCTACAAAATTGTCATTT